ATATATAAGACAGTTTTAAAATAAAAACAGAATATGAATACCGCCCTATGTTTTGCGTTTTACAGTTGGCAGCCTTTGAATCTCACGACATTCATAGACAGAAACGGCGGAGATTTAGAGAGGGGGAGGGGAGGGGAAGAGAGAGAGGGAGAGAGGGAGGGAGGGAGACAGAGAAAGAGAAAGAGAGAGAGAGAGAGACGCTTGCAAACTGAGCACACCATGTTATCCCTTCCACCATGATTCTAATGCGCGTTTGAGCGGTGTGACGACGCCGTACACGCCGGTGCCCGTGTCCAGCGGGCTGCACCATCTTTGACTGAAACTTTCGATTCAGACTCAGATATTCCTTTGTTTTAACTCTGTTATTTCTCTTTATTTTAACTCTATCATTACTGATTATGGTGGAATTAGATAAGGTGTATTGCCGAAGATACGCAATAGCAAAATGGCATTTCGCCTCTAAATGCAGCTGCATGAATGTAAAATTTGATAATTCGATTTTATTTTTTCGAGTTTTTATATATTTGACATATCGTATTAAAATATTTGACATATTTCACATCTTAGAAAAATGAAAGTTGCGCTAACATTTAGGGACTTTTCATTGGTTATGCCGTCATATTATGCGCAATAAAACACCTTATCTAATTCCACCCGTATATAATAATATACCCCCCCCCCCGTGTAATACTACTATATTGCTAACGTCACTTAAGAGCTAGCGAAATACCACGGTGTTTACCTCTCGCTTAGATAGTGTATTTGAAACTTTCAATACGCATGCGCGCATTCCTAACCAATCTTATCCGCATGTATGGAAGTGAGAAGTCCGATTGTTCTATCTTTCTGTCTTCACACAACCCCCACTCCCAAAAAAAGGCTGCGTTAGCAATATAGGAATATTACATATGATTCCATCATGGTTACTGACTATAATGGCTTCGGTTACGGAACCAAGGCCAAATAATCAAAAAAGAAGAAAATCTGTTGAATGTTATTCAGGCTCATGTCCATTAACATTTGTTAAGATTAAAGTCATTGAGGATTGTTTTTCTTATTTTCATTTTTATGTAAAAATAAATTTTCAATGTAAACATGAAAATAAGAGAAACAATCTCCAATGACCTTGATCTTTACAAATATTATAGGCGCCGACTTGTGAAAAATATTGAGGGGGCACCGAGAAATATTGGGGAAGAACTCAATAATATCTACTTTTTTGCGGCGCTGCTGACATAAATAAATCGCCGAAATAATTAAAATCTATTAAATTGATGGAGATTTCAACGATTTATTTCCATTAAGAACATCGCAAAAAAGTGGATAATGTTGTGTAGTTAACATCCACTTCTTCAGAGGACTGTGTAGTGCACAAGGTATTTTGTGGTTACAGGAAAAAGATCCTGTTTCTCTCAGGTTTCTCTCTGGTACGTGTATGTGCAGGGATTGGAGATTTTTTCCAGGGGCATTTGGATTCCCATCTGGGTGCTCCCTGGATGTCATATTATCCTTGTTGTTTAACAAACGTCTGATGACGAAGAAGTTGTATATATAGAATAGGCAAGACATAGGAGCTCCTGTACCTTGCCTACGTAAGTGGAAATGTTAGACAGTAAAAAAGGAAAGAACACGAGATGGCCATCTTTATCTTCGTCTAATGTTGTGCTACGCATAGAACTATACAACCTCTTTTTTAATCAGAATGCCTCAATAAATAACTCAGTACAACAAATAATCATCTCCTTGTTTAACATTGGGGAACAACAAGAATGTAATGATACACTGTGTCACACCGTGTCATCACACCGTCTCTTGTTGAAAAGCACCCTAGATGGCACAGCAAATGACGTGTCAGCGTCACCATTTTTAGGTCTGGTTTTTCATAAAGATTTTCAGAGGATCTCTAATGTTATGCAGGACATGATCCTGAACACCATTCAAGAGAGCCGTCATTCAAGATCGCATATCTTGCGTAATGCTAATGCCGGCGACACTGTAACTTTCAAGTCTTCAACTCGAAAAGTACTTAATGAAAAATAACTTTATTACAATGTTTTGAAAAGCTCTTGACAATAGCTATTATACATTCTGGAATAAAAAAATAGGGTATTCCATTTTAAAAAAATCAACATGACCTTGACCTGATCTTGGCGACACCAAGTCAAACTGATCAGATTATTAAATACATAATTTTAAACATTACAATTTTTGTTTGAAACATTTTTCTCTGAAAAATGCTTCGTTTTCGAAATATTCGACCATTTCCGGACTTTTTGAGGGCTTACTTATGTAAATTAGCACAAAGCCTTTTTAGCAATTAAAAGTATTATATTTCAGTGTTCAATGATATATACGTACATTTCTACCTTTAGTACTTAAGGTTCCTGAAATCTCGCTTCAGCCATATGACATCATGACATGAAATGATATATTGATTTTTCTTGCACATCATTTGTAAATAAAAACAATTTGGATAAAACAGAATAATGAGAATGCTGTAAAACAGAGTTATCACAGAAAATGAATTTTAAAATTCCCTTATTTTTCCAAGTTTTCCAGATAAAACTGGGAAATTTCCATGACCAATATAAAATACATCAAAATTTTAACATTATAAAATATATAAAAAATTTTAACATTTAGAATCAAGGATTATAAGAAAGTTAGCTTGTATTGTTAAAAACGCAAAAAAGCTTATCAAGTCAAAAAAATAAATTAGTATTGGAAAAAAGAATGCAGTTATAACGAAAAAGAACAATCAAATAAAATTACTAAATAAAGTATTTACTACTTTATTTAATTACTAAATAAAGTAATTACAGATAATTATGTTTTAAAAATCGTTCAAAGTACACGAGTTTTTAACATATTTGACTATAAACGTCAGATATAGTCATAATAATATTTAACAAATTATAAAAATTATTTGGAATAGGAGCAGTTTAAGGGAATTGTGAGCAAAGTTCAAAATTCAGTTTTTTTAATATTTTCCCCTGACTTTTCCCAGTTTTCTATGACTAATTTTAATTGCCTTGACTTTTCCCGATTTTTCCAGTTTTCCAGATCTATAGTAATCCTAACACTTGTAAAAATGAGCTGACACTATTCTTATTCCACCCGATAATCAGTAAATATGTAATCGAAAAATGTTCGTGAAGTAAAAATAGGCTATGCATATTGAGTAAAAACTAGTAAACTAGTAAAAGCACCTTATGTGCTTTTTACGACTATTTATCGATTATCAAAGGGGATAATGATTAATGATAGTCTCGGCCCATTTTTATAAGTGTTTTACGTGTCTTATGACGTCGATTCAACTTGGCTGAGCTGAATACTCAGGAGCATAAGTGTACTAATCTTTACAGATTCCGAATTTACTTGGAATTTATCGTAAATTTAATTTTAAAGTTAACGTAGTAAATATGCAACATTTTAAGGGGATCCTAAAGTCGCTACAATGAACAGTAGCAATAGAGGCTGTAGACATGTAAGGAGTAAGCTGATTTTCCGGCCGTCAGAAATGGTTGATCGATCAACGTTAAATCGATGTTAATTCAACGTCGATCGACATTAATTCAATATTGATTGCTCACTTGTAGCTAAGGATATAATAGAGCGGAGGATGTAATAGGGCGTAGAGTAAGTCCGTAAGTGAAATAATTGAATCTATTTCGCTTAGGACGG